AAAAAAAGCGTTACGAAGAAATCAACTGTGGGAAGAAAATCTTAGGAATCTCCTAAATATTCAGTGAATTTTGATATCACCGGATATCATGCTTAGGCAGGGTGACAGGTCATGTAAAGGTTTGTGATGTAACTTAGTCATCTTCAGCACGCCGTTCTTGTCTACTACTTTTGAAGGATTGATGGCTAATGCTCCAGTGGGACTGTTAAACTTAAAACGAAGATAACTATGAAATAGCTTTAAAGATGTTTAAATAGATCATAAAGCTTAAAAAAATTGTCTACTCGTTCACCTAATAACTGGCGCTTACATCAGCAGAAGTGTTTTAAATCCGCCATTACAGATAACTCTAGAACAAACATACACCAACAGTTTAATCCTCGAAGCCTAATCAATACTTTCTACAACAATTAATGTTTCCAAGCTGTTTAAAAAGACGATTAAATTGAAAATTACGACAGAGCGGCTGGACCACTGTGTGTACGTGTAGAAGAACATCTAGTGGGTAAACTTTAACTTAAACCAAACACTTAACTAAGCACGCATAGGGCAGAGAGACATAACGGAGAATATTTTGAAGCAGAGACTATCAACCTCGCACACGGAACGAAAACATTAGCGCCTAAAAAACTTGAAGCATTCTGCATAAATTCCAGGAATCCAAAAACGAACCGCAGTGAAGTATGGCTTGTCATCGCACGTGAGCTCACATAATGGCGTAGACTGATATTTTAATGTGGGAAGGAGCACTAAAAAGACTCATTGGCCGCCCAGGCGAATTTTGGGCAGTTGGCTTCCACGCGAAGTACTCTGTGGAAGCCTCTTAGAAACCGGTGAGTGTGCCAAGAAGCTGTTTTGTTTTCAATGCGATTACAATCTTTTAATTATTTTAAATTATTTTAACTTCAATAATGCTGAGATATTTGCAAAGCTCCGGACCGCAGGTGTATGCGGTGGTGAACGAACGCGCTGTTGCCCTTTTCGGAGAGTAACGCGCTCACCACCATACCATAAGGATCCTTCGTTTCGCCTGCCTCTCAGCTAGTTCTATCGGTCTTTTGCCATCAACAATCACCCGCCAGCGAGATAAAAATTTAAATTATTTTTATGTTTATGCTTTTTAACTTCAAATTTTATTGTTCTCTGATTGGTTGTGGAGGTGACTAGGTGATTAACAGCCAACTTCCCCTTTTCAGGTTCTGACAGGGGCAAAATCTGCCGAAAACTCTGCTTTTATGAGCGAGGAGTTCAATAACATTCTCGTGGGTCCTTATCTAAAAATCATCCAGTTGTTGAAAACTGTGAGTTGTTCGGTTACAGGTGCACTGAACAAAAAAAGTAATAAAGAAGCAATTACACACTTAACAACTTTTTATGTTCTTGTTTAGAAAACACGAAGTGTTATTATTTCTTTATTTATGCTTAAACTGACGTTTCGCCGGATTTCGCCTTCCTCAGAGCCTGGAAAGCTCAACTTAACTGCAACGGCCAAACACCATAACCAAACAGAAAAAATGCTGAACCAAAATTTCAATCACATTGAACACATAGTTTCTACACACTCACCGCTTTCTATGAGACTTCCACCAAATATGTCACGTGGAGACCAACCGCACAGAGTTCACATGCAAGCGTGATGTGCCTCTCCCATCAGAATAACGGGTTTTAATACTGCCCAATATCACGCTTGATTGTGAGGCATTCCTCCTTGCCGTTCATTTTCGGGTTCTCGGATTTAACACTTGAGAATGAAAAACGAAAGTATTGCAGTGGTCTTAAAATATTGCCATTTCATCTGCGTTTCAGCAAATGAAGTAGCGACTGCTACAAGACGAATTGCCCGCCCAAAATAGATCATACTGAAGGTGGTATTCGATCAATACCTCACCTGTATAACACAAAACTGCCGAGTAAATTTCTTTATTTGATTGGTGCACTTGCGCAAAATGAGGCTCGATGCAGCATCGAACACGCCACATCACGACAATGATCAGCTGTAGGTCATCGACTCGGGTCCATGCGATATTGAAGGTTAAGACGACACCCAGGAATCAAAATATTTTTTTTGAAATAAAGCGCCAGGTCAAGTCTGATAGTGATTCGTCTTTCCGGTTCATCTTTGGATGTTTGAAATTTAACCAAAACTCCTCAAGAGTTTTGCGGGCTGATGTTTTCGATTCTTTCGCTAGGTTCCGCACAGTCGCTTCAAAATTATCGCCGTTGTGCTTTTGTGCCCTATGCGTACCTAGAGGAGCGTTTTGATGAATTTTGACTTTCCCATCTAGATGTTGTTCCATGCGGACACAAAGTGTGTCTACACGTCTCCCCAATATATTCCTCACCGCATGCGTTGCATAAGATCAAGTATATTATACCTAAACTCATGCAATCCCCGTCTCTTCCGTTAGGACAGATCATACAGTTTTCTGAGCTGCACAAACGATCATAGAGACGGTTTCGAACTATCGAACTAAATGGCGGCGTAGGGTATTGGGTGGGATGCCAATAATCGTTACATAATTTTCAAGACCACTTTTTCTTAAGCACTTTTTAATGGCGTGACTTACTTCATTTGATATTAAGAGTAGCTTAAAAAGGATAATACTTTCGTTTGAAATATTATTTTGGAAAACTACCCAACGTTTTCCTCTAATCCGAGTGGCTTCTACTTCGTAGCCATTGGAAATAGCAATGTTTCGTGCCAGCTTTAGCGATTCCTTCCTTTCCTCTTCTGTGCACACATTTTTAGCCGTACGATACATATTTTTGACAAGTGCTTTTTTCATGTGTGAAGGGTGAGAGGCAGTGGACTAGAATGTTTTTACTACTTGGCTTACGATGCCATAGCCAACCTTCTAATTTGTGAAAAATATTTCCCACACCACTTGAAGATTGAACAGCCACGACACTGTTCTAAGAGAGTCATTAGCTGCGCAATCAACGAGCCATACAGTTTTATTTTCTTTTCGTACTGTACGAGCAACTCGCGAATGGATCGCATTTACGGAGTCATTCGACACGTAGGTATAAAGTGAAGTAACATTGAATTATCAATTAATGCCGAGGTTAACAGAAAGTCGGTCTTGGGAAGTAACATCGAATGACTCAATTACATGCGTGCTGCTTGGCTGCGCGCACTGTAAGTGGTCTAGAAATATTTTGGTATTAGGTAAATGGGTTGGAATGAATTTTTTCAACTGGGTCAGGGTAAGGTTAAGGAACCACGTTATTCTATCCATTGGTCCGCCTATACAACTGGTGATAGGTCTAACTTTAAATGATGATGGTTTTAATGTTTTAATATGTGTTTTAATAAGCAAACAAGGGACGAGGCAAATTGGTGGTTCGTTTTTAAGTCGAGAAATAACTGAAGACTCTAAAGCCGCTGCCTTTGCCTTGTTGACCCATTCTTGATTTAATTTTCTGCATGTATTTTCATATTCTCTTTCAGAGGATGCTCGATGAAAAGAAACATCATTGAGATGCTCCTGTTATTCTAACAACCAACTGACTAAAAATAACTACAAATTCTCCACTTTTATCACTAATACAAAGTCTTACAGATTTTGAACTCAAGAGATCTCTAACCTGGCGCATACCACATTTTCGTTGGCGAAATTAGAGCTTAATTTCCGTTTGGTAGTGATCAAGTATACGGAGAAATACTACCCGCCAATACTTGGTGGCTCTTGGTTAAAAAAAGTTTGGAGAAAGGGTGTTGGTGTAGTTCCCCACTTGGCACTACTTTACTTAACCTTCCTAGCCTAGCTCTGTAACGTAGCTGATCCTGAAATTCATGAAACCTACACGTGATCCTGCGCGCGCAGGATAAGTTTAGAAATAGGTTGACTAGGTGCGAAACTCGGAGCCAGTTCTAACAATGAATGCGAATTTTCCCGAAACGTTACGCCTTCTAACACAGTAGCACTGGATGTTCTTGGTGTGCAGACTATTTCAGGGCTGTTGCTTAAAATTTGACCAGCAGCGGTTTCTACATCAGAATGTAGTTCTGTAAAAAGTCTAAACTGCATCTGAACTGCAGGAGATAATGTCAACGTTTGTCTAGTTGTCAAAAAAAAACAGGTTTCCCACGAGAGTTTGCTATTTTTACTACTCTTAACACAAAGGGATTCAGTGGCGAATTATTGAACCCTGCTACTGGGGCTGAATATTATTACGGGCAGTTTGTCTGAAGGTTTCGCCTAGGCATGGCAAATAGGTAGTGGACTTATTTCACGAAAACGACCCTGAACCGCCTCAGTTTCATTTATCGCTAAATTGAACACAGGATTTTAAATACTGCATCCTGCATGCAATGCACATACACACTATAGCATATTCGCGCGTTTATCCAAGACCTGATTACTTATATTCACGGAGATTTCGTCAATCCGATCCAACAAAAACAAGAAACCACTTCCTCAGCATCTGCTATTGAGAAAAAGTAAACTGTCACTTTTAATTCCAATCCATCACCCAAGTGAAAGCATAGAGCATTTTATCGGGTTTACTTCATAAATGGCCTATTACAAGGGCCCGGCAGCGGTTAAGCTACAAGCGAAAATGTTTATGCTTTAACTTTCATTTATAGCTTTTTTTCTCGACAGGGTACAGTGTGAGCTGCAACCAAAGGGCTGCTTAGATATTAGCCAAACCTGGAGCCTCACCTGGGCTTCGGAGCCGCAATGACCCTTACCGAGGTTCCACGTAATTTCCACTGCACCAGCGCTGGCTCATATATTGCTTTTTGCCATCCGTGTTTTTAGTCCGTCTTTTTTGTTTACTGCTGCGTTTAACCTTCATTTTTTTTTTCTTAAAATTTCCTTTTGGAGAATCTACCATAAAGATGTTATCATTGCGACATCATATCTATCGCTTAGGATAACAAGAGCAGCTAGTTCAACATAATGAGTTTCATGTACTTGTAACGTACGAAATACCTTTATTTTATACATTTCGTAGATGTATCAATGGTAAGCTTTCGCTATCAGAACACCTTCTTATTCTAAAATTCTTGTTGGGTCGATGTTCATCGCTACGAAAAGGGCCCAAGCAACGTCCATTTCTTTCACATACTGAGCTACAGCACTTCCATTAAAAAACGACTGGAAATTGGAAAAGTTTTTGGAAATAGGCATCCAACGGAATGACACTCCAGCCTCAAGACCAACAACGCCTGTACTGAAGACGTCATCTATCTAAAATTAGGTTTTCATGAAGTGTAGAAGCACAGGCGTTCGTTGAATAGTAAAGCAAATAACACTAGGAGATTAGGGGTTATCACCTAGATGAGAAGCAAGTCACATGTTGCCGAGAATGATTAGCCAAACGCAGGAATTGCCTACCATAGCATCTCATTCAGTGCTTCAATAGGGTAATAATTTTGTTTGTTCCCTATTTCTACTTAGTTTTTTTCTTATTTTTCAGTGAGTAGTGTACAATTAAAAAATCAAATATGAGGATTTTTTTTCGTTGGTCGCCTTGCTAAATGTTGGAATTTTTACTGAGAAGAAGACTTAAAATATTTCCCAGGATCGACTTTCTCTTAACCTCGGCATTGGAATATGAATGTGTCGTTTTCTTGTTCAGCAATCGCGAGGTTTTTAAACAGTTGTTGTTGTTTAAACTGTTTAAAAACCTCGCGATTGCTGAACAAGAAAACGACACACTTAGAATATTATAAGAATCGGCTTCCGGTGGATGATGGCTGGTGAACAATGGCAATCGCTAATCAAAAAATTAGTTAATGTTGGCTTTTTTTTACCAAAAACTAAACCGCACCTCCATTACGAATACGCTTACCCAGAAATGGTTAACGGCTGTTGTGGCATTGTAAAGCTTCGCGAATGTTCCTGGTGTTCCTGCATAGATAGGACTAAGGCAGTATTCGGGATAAAACTCGTGTGGATATTGTTCGAATGACACGTACCTTAATTAATTGAAACGCGTGAGGCAAATGCATAAAACACAGTGTGTTTGAGCATTCGTCTCTAGTTTCTTTTATTCGGCACAAACAAGCGCTATGATTTCAATAAACGCAAAATCGTTCAGTTATTTCCACCGTCTGTGTTTTATAGTGAGAATGACAGTTAGCATTCTGAGTATATCTCTTCTCTCAGATTTCAAAAACAGTATGTATTTTATTTTATCAGCTATATTTTCATCTAAATGACTCAAGAAACATGAATTCATTGTGTAGTGTGGAATACAAATATAAGCCATCGTATATAACCATAACCAACCACATGTTGCGTTTTTCGCGCTCTACAGCTACCCTCTTCACTGGGTTGCAATAGAGGATATTGCCGTTGGGATCGATGTCATCGAGATATTTGAACACTTCCTTGACGTTCAACGCCACATCGTCATCAATTTTCAGAACCGCTTTCACACTGGTGCAGTTCTTTCGCACGTAATTTGCCCACGAATATGACTGCAATACCGTGATTGACTGTTCGTTATCGCTACTTACAAGGCTTCAGCAGAATGATATTCGTATTAACACAATACCTTCAACGTAAGATTACGGTAGCTGTCGACAAAGTTCGTCTGCAATATATTGGCGTGGGCTTCATGTTCTCTGCCCAATGCACTGTTTACCTCCTCATCCTTAGATAGACCAACGGGAAATAGAACAGTAAAATTGTGCTAAAAATAGTTAACTATTACGCATTTCCAGAATACATTGAATCGCACAAGTAATGTTAGGATCCAAAGCTTTGAGCAGCATCAACGATTAAAGACCAAAGAAGCCGTCCAGTACGCCAAACAGTGGAAGGTAAGGCGAGCCGGAAATCTCGAAGTGTCAAACGTACTGCTGGAAGGCAACCGACCTAAAGGATAGAGTTTTTCAGCTAAAACCAACAAAAAGGAATGGTCCTGAAGGAGTTCCTAGAGCGACCAGAATCCATTGGGCTTCTCTTGCACACAACAGGGAGAATGGAAGATTTAAGGGCGCTCGCTGGAGTCACTCGACGATCAACGGGACGACAGATGGTACACGTGATAGGTTTACGCAAAGAAAACGTCGCTCTTGTGATTTATAAAATATTGTAAGCCAATTTTTATTAAATTTGGCATAAATAATCAAGAATCCTTGCTCCATTGACAAGCTAACATGAGCTTTTTGCAATTATGTGCTCGGTTAACGTTTCGATATCTTCGTCTTCCTCGGAGCCGATGAACCGAGTTGATGGCCCACAGTTGTTCGTTTTGTCAATATGGCATGCTCTTCTTTGTATCAAGCCGGATTTTTTTTTCAGAGGGCACTACTTGAATGAGGCCACTTCACAAGCAACGCTCTTTTATGTAGAACGGTTTCTGTTCATGTGAAAAACCCCTAATTTTACTTTGTTTCTCAAAGGGTAATCCCTACCGCAGCAGTCGGTATTATGCTGGCGTGTAGCGAATTGCAAAACTACTTTTTTACCTCGACTGTCTTTTAACCTTAGTTATAATAACAAGTAGCTTTTTAGACTGGTAAAGTAACGTGAAGTAGGCAAAGATGTTATAGATATAGATGTTTATTTGCCTGCCTCGATGTCTTTTTTATCATCAGAGTCCTTCTGTGCATCACTGTGTGGTGTGCTGTCTGATAATGATACTAGCCACTGCAGGTTGGATAGTCCGGAAGAAACGAGTTATCAACGGACAATCAAATCAATAATAACTAGCCTGTATAAAAGAACACCGCCGGGTGAGATTGCCTCATTCGAGCGATCCTCCACTGAAGAAGTCCTGGCTCTATACGACGACGAAGACTCTAGAATGACGGAGCTAGCGACTGTAGACCATCGACTCCCATTATCGACTCTGGCGAAGATGAAGACATCGAAACGACGGCCAAATAAATTGATGATGACCTCTGTGAATTTATCACACCACGATGCAGCTGGTGAGCTCTTGTTCATCTTATTGGAAACGTCCAAAATGCATGAGGCAGTAAAACTACTTAATTAACAAGACTTATTTTGTTATAAAAATGGAATAGATCAACTTGAGAGTCTAGAATGACCTATGTAAATAGCGCCAGTTATTAAGCAGAAATCTGCTTTTGAAGACGATCACATTATCTTAAGTCTAGCAGTAAACTGTTTTCCTTAAAATGCTTGCTGCTTAGCCGTGGCGAAAAAGTCCGGTGTGGATTTTGTGACGTGTTTCGTACTACAACGTGCTCAACAAGGCTATAGAGGATTGCGACATTTCCACTCAGAAATTCCATTAAGATTGGGCCTCTGTCGTGACAGAGATCAGATGAAGCATGTGCTGATGCCTAATAGTAGAATACATTCTATCAAAATGATATTTTAAGGTTCACTAGGCGAGAGGAAGCAGATGATTGAAACCTTTGCGGATCAAGACTAACTATTTCAATATAATACAGTAGTACTTTTCTTAGTCAGTCCGCGATTAATAGGATAAGGTAACAGGTGGAAAGTGAGATACCGCGATGAAATATGGTGTTCAAGAAATACCAATTCACTAAATCGGCCGTATGTCGTCATGAATCGACGCCTTTTCTCCGGTTCTTGTACCCTCGTAATTAATATAACCAGATAACGACGACTGTTGCAGAAACCACTCGGTGGAGCAAGAATGACGGATGGTGCTTCACCTAGCTGAAACGTTGAATTTTCTCGCGAAATAACATTAAGAGATACGTGGCAATTATTATCCTAGTAAATGAAACCGAAAATCATAGGCATATTTTTCTTTCCGGACCTAAACTGTGTTTGTAGAAGATGACGGAAAGCGTTTAACCTCTAAGTGAGCACTAATAATGATTAGTCGAAAACAAAGGTGAAGAGTGCTGTTGGAAAAGCTGTTTTCAAAAATGGTGACCATTATTGACATCAGCTGATCCAAAGTTCAACTGCTGTCCCTAGTTTTGCTCTTATCTGAGGCTCACAATGGTTGTATTAATTCACTGTTTTCATCCTCCTAGATTAGTACGGCACCAATTCGCCGACCCGACTCTATAATCAAACTTTATTTCCCCAAGACACGAAATCGAAACAATGAGCAGGTTTGTATTGTAAAGGACCTCTAGTCACTGCACCAAGCATTTCTTATTAGATGCATGTACGTACAAAACGCAAATGTACTTGGCGACAAGAAATGACGTTCTACAAAGTATAAAGTCGTAAAAAATAGAAACTACCTTACCTTTAATGGTAAAAGAATTCTCGTTTTCAGAGCAAAGAAATACCTTGCAATGAATAAAGAGGCAAGAACGAACAACGACGAGCGAAAGTACGCTTTTGACTTCATGGCAGTAGTTAACCCTGGATATTTTGTTAATCTTTCTAAAACAATTTTGACCCGGAAATATCACACATCGAAGGTACAATAAAACTGAGCTTTATTAAAGCTGATAACAGAGACCTTTTCTTAATAACTCGAAAGACCGACTTTCTATGAACCTCGGCATGGATAGTTGATATATTTATTTATGTGATCTTATAAACTGATCTTCTTAAGCTGACGCGAGGTTGGTACAGATCTTCGTTGTCGTTGCCGTTGTTTTTGATGTTATTGATCGATGGCTGACGTTTCGGCGACTTCGCCTTCCTCAGAGCCTGGACGTACTTTGCGTTAGAATACTTTTTATTATTCAGTGGAAAAGAAGGTTAAAGTATTAATGAAGATCAAACTTTCAAATAGACGCCATATTGAACAGAAAGGCCACTCACCGTGATGTTACGTGCGGGACTGGCCCACACGTAGTTCACGCGAGCAAGATACACCCTTTAAGCTACCCTTCATATCAAATGAAGTAAGTCACATCATTAAAAAGTGCTTAAGAAAAAGTGGTCTTGAAAATTATGTAACGATTATTGACATCCAAGTATTCTAACATAAAGTACGTCCAGGCTCTGAGGAAGGCGAAGTCGCCAAAACGTCAGCCATCGTTCAATAACATCAAAAACAACGACAACGAAGATCTGTACCAACTTCGCATCAGCTTAAGAAGATCAGTTTATAAGATCACATAAATAAATATAGAGACCTTTTCGTTAAACGATCACCAGTGGTCATCAAAGAACAAAGTAAACTAAAGCAAATAAAACGTGTACTAGAATCTACATTGCTCGAGAAAATCAGTGGTTCAACTGCCACGAGAGCTCCACAGAAAAAAAACCGATCATGATTATTGAAGCAATGCTATTACTCACGTAGATGCGTTGTCCGCCTATGCAATCATCGATATCTGAAATCTTCCAGCGACATCTTAAACCATCCAACCACGATGACCCAATTCCATATCCGGCTATAAAAAATTTCTTCGGTGCATCTACCAAGTTGTATTTACCCAGTTAAGTACTTCGACACGTGGATGGCCCATTTCCACTGGTAGAACTGGCCCCGGCACAATCTCCGTTCGTTTGCTCTGGCGCAATCGTTGTCTATGGCGGTGTTCTGCTCCGAACATGGAGAAGTACTCGAGGAATACGCTTTATCAGTTGCTAACTGACCTGAGCTTAGAGTCTACTCGTACAGATTCAAAGCGATGATAGGTGCTCCATTTTGCCTCAGAAATAAAGTGACGAAATGAAAAGTGTGTTCCCTAGCTTGCATTCGAGAGCTCTACACCTTCAGAAGGTATACCAAGTAGCGTGCTCACAAGCACAAGCATTGGCACGAGCTAAAAGTGAGATTAGACAATTGTTTCAGTTTTGCTCAGACAGGTACTGTTTTGATACTTTTGCGACATCTTTCATTTGATCGAACTGCGTTTTGTGCACTTGTCTGTATTTCTGGCCTGTGTTGGTTTACATCCTCGCGGAGCCAAAGATTTATTTAAAGCAGGATATTAACTTTAGAGCACTTTTAGGCTTAAGATTGCTGCATAGTCTTCTGAGTGTCCTTTCACACAATACTGTTTTCTTTTTCTTTTTTTCTACTAATTCTTTTCAAGTCCTTACACTCAGGACTCTCCGCTTCTTGATTTTTCCTCCTTATTCTTAGAACATCGTCTTCGGCAATATTCTCTGCCTCAGTGTGGTCTCTGGACCCAATAATTAGCAGGTTCAATCGTTATAGAAAATCCTCTCGACTGGAGTCGATCGATTGGACGTTGTCAAAACTTTGAAACTTAAGGCACTGGAGCCATAAAATAAGGGCAATTGAAGTGTACCCGTCACCACCATTTAGCTTTGTCTTTAGTCCTTTAAAGGTTGTCTTGATTTTCATCCCCTCACACGGTGCATAGGTGTGTTCCAAAGCTTCGTTGATTCTGGTTCTTAGTAATCATTCTTCCAGAGGCTTGGCTGGGATTGCGTCTGCACTCTATCGCATTTTTAGGATCCATTATCTTCTACCCCCATTGTAATTGCTGCCAAAATCAGTTTTGGTGCAATAACGCCATCTCAGGACGTTAACAATCCCGGTTTTCGCAACAGACAGTCGTCTGCTTTTTGGAAGCAGATTTTGCTGCTTGTGGATAGAATTCTAAACGGCGACATCGATTTCTGTGAATGGTCGAGCTACAGACTAAGGGCGATGCGACAGTTCAAGCTGTACTGTATAGAGGTACATTGCACTTGTCTGGAATGTGTACATCTATTACATCGTCATTTATTGAGTTAAGGTTTCTTTGGCTCTAATCCTTTTCGGAGATGTTTATTCTTTATTAGGATATAGTGTTCCGTATCGTGTTTACGACAGTCTTAACAAGCTTCACTTACTTTCGATCGCTTAAATATCGTACTTGTTCTTCAGAGTAACAGTGAAAAAACCCGTTAATCAAATCGATTTTTTCTCCTAAGCATTGGTATCTGTTCAGAACTAGTCGCTAGGGGCCGCTGTACATCGCATGCCGCCAAAACACGTCATGTGTGGGGGCCCACTTGTTTCTGGACAAGTTGAGCTGTAAGGCTACATCTTTAATCTATCTGCGTTACAGTAGGTGGAATCTTTGGGCTCTGAGTGTAATTTACATAACATTGAATATTTAACTTCAATGATGCTGAGATATTTGCAAAACTCCAGACCGCAGGTGTATGGGGTCGGGAAGGAACGCGCTATTGTCCTTTCCGGCGAGTAGCGCGTTCACCACCACACCACGCGGGTCCTTCGTTTCGCCTGTCTCTCAGCTAGTTCTATCGATCTTTTGCCATCAGCAATCACCCGTCAACGGAATTGATCTGGGGGGCCTAAATCGGCAACGAACCCAGTTAAGCTGAGGCCGCAGTTATAATCACAATTTTAACTTATTATTTACTGCCTACTCTTTTTTTTTGCCCTGCCGTTAAAAAAAAGAGTAGGCAGTAAATAATAAGTTAAAATTGAATATTTAGTTTTCAGGATCGACTTTGTATTAACCTCGCCCTTAGTTTATAAATGCATCGTTTCCTTTCTCAGCAATCGCTTGGTTGCTGTGCAGCATATATTTAGTTCCGTTCAAAAACACACAACACAACTGCATCGGACGTTTGTGCAGTATCGCCTTCTTCAGAGCTGGAAGAGTATATTGAAACAATTTGCTACGCCAAACGCTTCAATAACTCATTCAGAAAGTGAGAATCTTTATAGTAATTACATGTTCAACAGCTTCTCGAAAAAACCCACCTTCGGATCGAATTTTGATGCGGGGTGATGCAGTCATGGACCAGTTATGACTCTAATCAGCGGTTCTTCCTCAGTGGAAGGCGCGTAAAAAAAGGTGAGATTTATCTCAAAAGTAATTCGTAGATTTCAAAAACCAAAAATAAACCTGAAAGACGAATGCCTCACTATTGAACCTGATCTGGCATCTTATTTCAAAAACATTTTCTGACCTGGGTGGGTGTCGCACGCCACCCCACGTGAACAACGGGCGAGCAGTCGCACTCGTAAAGGCACGGTGAATAGTCTTACTGATCAATATAACCTCTATTTATATGTTTAATCTTTATTAATGCTATAGACATTTCACCGAAGGCTACTGCTAAGCAAAATACGTCCAGGCTCCGAGGAAGGCGAAATCGTCGAAATGTCACCCATCGACCAACAACACCAACAGCAACGACAACAACAACAAAAGCAGCAACGACACCCAAAAACTTATAGTAACCTTGCACCGGCTTAACAGGACCATTTTTTAAGATCATAAAAGGTAAAAAAAATCCTTCAGCGTTAATCAAGCCCTGAAGGATGCGGCATGCATTCGACCTCATTAAGCATCGTTTGGAGGTGACTGAATGGATATCTGACGTTTACAATAACTCACGGAAGCTTGCCAATGTATCGAGAAAGTGCTGCTATCTTCCTATACAAGTCTGGTACCTTTTACCGATCTCGGTGGAATGGAAGGCTTATGAGCCATGGGCGCGGGGATCAATTCCACGTGTGTGTGGAATCGATGGTGCCCCAAACCACTACGCCACATGCGCCCTTCAAAAGATCATGTAAATAAATATGTCAAAAAACCTCAGAAAGTTTGTGCGCTGGTATTTGGACATCCTGTGCGAGGACTGCGACTTTTATATGAAGATCGTTCTGCTATGTTTTTTTAACCTTTGCGTCCCTTAGGGGGGAACTTTGTCTTGCTTTTTGTTCACCACCTAGGTGCACTTTTATAAGGATGCATAATAGTCTGCCCGTCTCTGCAATATATTCGGCCTGCCCGTCTTCCCAATGCATTCGTCTCCGAAAGTATTGCAAGAGAGCAGGTATGTCGTACCTGTTTTGCGTAGGTACGGTCACACAGGAGGTTACGCACAACTAACGACGTAAAGCATTCGGTGATATCGCTACTGGTTCCTCTCAACCTGCCATTCTTAAGCATCGCTTCACAGCTACATTCACTTCATCGCTAATAAAGGGCAACATAATCGGGATTTTCTTTTGGCCCAAGTGTTTCGCGTGTGCGCGCCGCTATCCTTTTAAACTTATCTCGTGGGGTTACTATTTCGTATCCATTGGAGATGGCTATTTGCCGAGCTAAGTCGCGCGATTCTTCCTTTAGTTCACTGGTTGGGCACACAGAGGTGGCTGTTCGAAACATTATTCTCAGCTAGCACAAAGCGTAGTAATATTTCGAAACCGACTTTCCTTGAACCTCGGTGTGACTATTCAATATGCATTCTTTCTTGATAAGCTTGCACGAGCTTGATAAATATATTTACTTTCGGCTAACGTTTCGACGTCTTCGTCTTCCTCAGAGCCGATGATCCGAGTCGATGGTCCATGATTGTTACTCGTCTCGAGCTTCGCCTTCGTGTCGAGCCAGGTCTTCCTCAGTGATCCCTCTTCTCGAATGAGGCATCCTCACTCAGTGATGCCCTTTTATACACGATGCTGATGGTGGATATATAATGATAATGTCCGGTGGTAACAAGCTGTATTTCTTCCTATCATTATCTTCCTATCAGGAAGACCTGGCTCGACACGAAGGCGAAGCTGCAACGTCGAAACGAACAACAATCATGGACCATCGACTCGGATCATCGGCTCTGAGGAAGACGAAGATGTCGAAACGTTAGCCGAAAATAAATATATTTATCAACCTCGTGCAAGCTTATCAAGAAAGAATACATTATTCTCAGCGCCCTCTTTGTGCGTGAAGGGTGGGAGAGGAAATGAACGAGAATGTTTTTGTTACTTGGTTTTTGGTGCCATTTTGTCATGTAACCGCTGTCTCTTAAGCTCGGAACGCTAAAAGATCGAAGCCAACTTTCTTTCGATTTGTCTACCGAGTGAGTTTGGTGTACTCATACTGCCCATTCAATAATTCAAAGTATTTGACCATCTCTTCCGTAGTAGAGAAGACAAAACAATCATCTGTATATCTACAGTAGAGTAGCGGTCGGAGATCGATAACAGGAGATTCTATTTTAGACATGGACACTGTGGTGAGAGCTGGTGCCAGCCGATGTGCCACTGCTAGCCATCTCATTTGTGCGTAAATATTCGTCTGTCATAACCATTTTGTATTATTTTGAAAGTTTAAACGTGGCTTACCGGTCGCCTCTTGCTCCCGCAATTTCAAGTTGGCATATCAGCTTGGGTGTTTCAGCAGACGGATGTCGCTTGATAACTTTCGAAATCTCAGATTTTATAACACCAAAGTGAAAATGTTGATTAAGCCGGTCATTTCTCTCGCTAATGTTTTCAATAACGCCATCTTCGCAAGTAGACTAATGATCTTAATAAGTCTTGGATTTTGGTTGTTTTAGGAATTCATTTTGTAAATGCCACGACCGACTTTCTATTAACCTCGGCATTGATCAAGTGATTTTGTTCGTATTTTTTTGAGCAAACGCGAGGTGTTATTGTTCTTTGTTCACGATTAAGCTGACGTTTCGGCGAATTTCGCCTTCTTCAGAGCCTGGAAAGGTCAAGTTGATAGCAACTCACTCGGCCAGACGCCTCCATAACCAAACAAAGAAACCCCAAACCAAGATTTTAATCACTTTGAACACAGCTTTGCACACTCACCGCTTTTTATGAGGTCTCCACTAAGTATGTCACGTAGAGACCAACCGCACAGAAATCACGTGGGAGTATAATGTGCCCCTCACATCAGGAAAGCAGTTTTATATACTGCCCTATATCACGCGTGTTAATGACGCATTCTTCCCTGCGGTTCATTTTCGGATTTCTGGAATTAATCCAGAGTGCCTCGAGGGTTTTTC